CATTTTGTCATACATTCTATTCATAGGTTGTATTAGCCACTTTAACAAACAAGCACACAAAAATCCTGGATTTTATGGCAAAACTGAGGCTTTTTTGATCAATGATAATTATGACAAAATTAAATTTATTTCATTATTTCACCACTGTTATAATTCCTAGAAGTGGGAGAATCCCAGCCCTTATAGAAGCAATTAGTATTTAATGCAATACTTATTGGAATAAAGCAATGTGCAAATCAGTGGTTGTTAATGGAAGTTTACTTATATTCCCTAATTTGGTTTTCTTAATCATTTGTTGAGGACATTTTGAATCACACACTATGTGTGTGTAGAGATATCTCGTCATTAAGATTGATCTCCTCATTCTGACACTCAGAAGAGGAAGTTGTTCTTGTAAAAATTATTGTTTAAGCTGCGTGACTGGCTTTCATATTTGTTCTGAAAGTTTATGGTAGTGCACAGAGATTGTTTTATGAGGAGTCTTAATTTTCAGAAATGAAGACAATATTTATATTGAATTTAGGTTTCAGAAAACTTGTATATTAAAAGCATTATTTTAGCACTATGTTATAGCCAGACTAATTTTTTTTTTTTTTGGTACATTTTAGATAGCTGATACAGTACTCAATGATGATGATATTGGTGACAGTTGTCATGAAGGCTTTCTTCTCAAGTAAGAACTTGTCTTTTTGTAAAAGCTGGGCAAAACAGATACAAATCTTATGCTCACCTATGACAGGATTTGGAAGGAAGAAAATAGAAATATCCACCTGCTCAGATTATTCTAGGAACAACATTGCCTCCTTGAACTGTTGCTTAAATTTGTGTTATTTTTTCACTCCTTATATTTCTGTGATATATTTGATGTTTAACCTAAAAGCCTTAATGGCTTGAATCAGAAGCACTTTAGCCCTGAATCTGTTTGGTGTCAGCCATTCATACATCATTTTTAATCCCCTTTGACTTTAAATAAATCACTTAACCTCTCTACACATCAGTTTTCTTCAGCTATAAAATGATGATATTTTACTAACTAACTGGGTTGTTATAAGGCTCAAAGGAGAGAATGTCTATGAAAGGCCCCTGAAAAATGTAAAGGCCAAGACAAATAAAAGATGGCATTATACTTACAGCTTTGCTGTTTATCATGTAAAGCCATTCTGAGTTGTTTGAAGCTCATTCAACTTTTTTTTGTGTGTTTAATTTGTGAAATTGTTTTACAGCCAATGTTTTTAATCTGTTTTCTTTAACTTACAGTGCCATCAGCTCACACTTGCAAACTTGTGGCTGTTCTGTTGTCGTAGGTAGCAGTGCAGAGAAAGTAAATAAGGTAATTTGTTTTATAATCTAGCAAATGATCTGACTTTTTAATACTGCTACCATATCATGGGTTATCATTTAAATGTTAGGTTGCAATTAAAATATCTGATAGTATAAGGAGGCAATATAATCTCACCAAATTGCCGTGATACCCTGTGGCAAAAAGGAGTTTCAAATAAACTGTTTGCATAGGAGTCATTTATCAGTTTATTTTGGTAACTGGTCAATAGCAGTCTCAGTTGTGTATAAATGATTTTGAGAATATTTTAAAATCAGATATTTTTAAAGATATTTGTCTTCTGTTTCCTAATGTTACCTTTAATAAATATGAAGAGCCATGTACTTTTGGTACCAGTTCCAAAGGCGTGTTATTTAATCATTCATCTTGATTTCATTGTCTTGGTTTTCCCCCAAATCTATTCCTTTTAGGAAGCTGTGGCAATTGGAGGTTGTACTTTATTCAGTGATGTTTGTGACCACTTCCTTCAGTGCTAAATGAGTCAATAAAGAATTAATGAACAGTTAAATTTCCAAGCATTAGGCAATAAACAAATAGATCTTGCACTTTTCTTCACTGACCATTAATTAGAAAGAGTCCAGAGATATAAGCACCTATATCTATCACTTTAAGCAAACCTAATTTTTTTAAATTTTATATCAAAAATATGTTAGGACTGATTTTTACTTTACAAAGGTATGCATAATTTATTTTTTTCTGTAATCTACCCTGTGTACTTACATAAGCCTTAATTTATCAAAATTATATTCCTTGGCCAGGCACGGTGGCTCACGCCTGTAATCCTAACACTCTGGGTCTGGGAGGCCGAGGCAGGAGGATTGCTTGAGGTCAGG